GAGAGAGAGAGAGAGAGAGAGAGAGAGAGAGAGAGAGAGAGAGAGAGAGAGAGAGAGAGAGAGAGAGAGAGACTCTAGTTGAACAACGAGTCAATTCGCAGTTATCGAGGTCGATGTCAGGTCGTGATCTGTTTGGTGACTGACCACCTTTCACAAGTGGTAGACCACCTTCAAGAAGTGTCAACCTTCACGAAGTGCCAAACAGTCGGCCGTCAGAGGGCTCCAGTGCCAAAAACATCCTTAGGGGACCTTGCGGTCGTGTTCAGAACATATTGGTGTAGCACTAGATGCTCACCAAGCAGTTCTGGATGTTGGTTATATCAACACATCATAAGATGCCTTACAAGCAAGCAGCGGCTGCTTGCAGGACCTTCTACCCGGTATGGATCTTTGAGAGCAGAGTTTCGCACTCCACCGTGAGATCCACGTCGGATAGGTGGACCTGCCATCCAACTGTTGTTAGCTGTAGTCATCTTGAGGTAGTCGATGAGGTGAGGACCCGGCAAAGAAACTCTCAGTGGACTTTGCTGCCGTGTTTTTGGAACTTATTGGCGTAACACTAGATGCTCACCAAACAGTTCTGGATGTCGGTTATATCGACAAATCATAAGATGCCTAACAAGCAAGCAGCGGCTGCTTGCAGGACCTTCTACCCGGTGTGGATCTTTGAGAGCAGAGTTTCGCACTCCACCGTGAGATCCACATCGGATAGGNCAAGCAGCGGCTGCTTGCAGGACCTTCTACCCGGTGTGGATCTTTGAGAGCAGAGTTTCGCACTCCACCGTGAGATCCACATCGGATAGGCGGACCTGCCATTCTACCGCTGTTGGCTGTAGTCATCTTGAGAGTCGATGAGGTGAGGACCCGACGATGTTCCAATTGGGACGTGCTTTTGTTTCGTGATGTGCAGGTGCTTACCGGCGGTGCGTTCGATCCCCTCCTTGACGTGAAGCAAAGTGCGAGGGAATTGCTCAGGGCTCACACCAGAAGTGCGATTGAACTCGCACTTTGATGGAGAAGCAGTTGCACAGTCCATCAGCGCGACGATTTAATATGGACATTGGTTTGTCATTTCTATATCACAGGTTGAAAACGCAATCAAATCTTTCTGTGTAGAAGATTCATATCCATTCATACAAGTATCTCTTGTCATCGCAAACATCGAGATGAAAACATCTCAAGTCAAATTGCAAAGCACACAGAGACATCGCTCGAGGTGAAAACATTTAAGTTGCGCACTGTTTTTCCAAAGGTGAAGTCTCAGAGCAGACGATCAGTTTCCAGAAACCATTCTATGCAGAAAATTCATTCAAGGGCAAATTGCAAAGCACAAAGACTTTCCAAATTGAACGCAAAATATCATACAATCCCACATTGCAAAGTGCACGGAGGTTTTTCAAAAATCACAAAGTACATGGAGCCAAAGTGCGGATATGTTCTCATTTCCCATATGGAACCAACAGTTCAATCACAAATGCACGCATCCAAAGTGCGAATATGTTCGCATTTCTCATACGGAAACAACAGCCAGCATCCAGTGGAGAGCACGAGATGTATTCCGGGGATAACAAAATTGACAATCATTTAGTGCACCGCTAAATCCGTTAAACAACTTCAAGCACAAGTCAAATTGGAAAGCACACAGAGACATCGCAAACATCGAGGTGAAAACATCTCAAGTTGCCTAGTGTTTTTCCAAAGGTGAAGTCTCACAGCACACGAACAGGTACCAGAAACCATTCCATGCAGAAAATTCATTCGAGGGCAAACTGCAAAGCACACAGAGACGTTTCAAAAAGTCATTGAACGCAAAATATCATACAATCCCACATTGCAAAATGCACGGAGACGTTCCAAATATCACAAAGTACATGGAGCCAAAGTGCAAATATGTTCTCATTTCTCATATGGAACCAACAGTTCAATCACAAATGTACGACATCCAAAGTGCGAATATGTTCGCATTTCTCATACGGAAACAACAACCACCATTCCGTGGAGAGCACGAGATGTATTCCGGGGATAACAAAATTGGTGATCATTCAGTGCACCGCTGAACCCGTAAAATAACTTCAAGCACACATACATTCTGGCGATAATTGGTTTTTGAATGGAGAACAAGTTCACAACTGTCATAAGGAACCAAAAGACAGCATTCAATCGAGACAAGCAGAGGGGGTGAACCGTAAAACGGGGCGGCATCCGCGGAACAAGGGCGAGCTAAAACATATGAAAGCTGGTTGGTCGGGGTGGGGCGGAGGAGAGGGGCTTTCACACCACAAACTCTTGCGAACGAAAGAGATAAGCACGAAACAATTTGGCGACCAAGAATAAATCGTCGATATCTTTCACATGAGTAAAAGAGAAGTACAACCTCGAAACGAACAAACGCAGCACGGTGCTGCCGAGGTCTGAGAGGACATAAGGAGAACAACCCGAAAATAAACAAAAGGAACACAAAGCTGGGATATTCACATCCGATATGTTAGCGTCTACTTAAAAGGAACTGCACCACATGGCTGGGATATTTACATCGGCATCTGAGCTTCTACTTCACGTAAGCGTCCGTTGCTACCCTCTAGCTGATGTTGCGCGGCAAGCAATGAGAACAACCCGAAAACAAACAAAAGAAGCACGGCGCTGCCGAAAGTCCTACGAGTAAAGATGAAAGGTTCCACGAAATGAAGAACCCTTAAAAAATTGATACAACACGAGGCTGGGATATTCATATCGACACCTAAGCCTGTACTTGACCAAAACGTCCACTACAATCCGACACCTCTTGAAAACAACACCACAGCTCGAACCGGCTGACTGCTAGATCAAGTGGGAATAGATTCGCACTTCTGCTTATGGCATTTCGAAAAAAAAACTACGCGTATTTTTACAACAGCGGTATCATTCAGCGCCTTGGAGTATGTCCACCGCAATCCTCAACCGGATGTTTGGAATGTCGCTTTGGGCTATCGAAAATGGTGGCGGACAGCCGCGTGCAAGAAATGAAGCGAAGGCGAGCATGAAAACACCGCAGCTCGACCCGTCCAATTGTTGAGGGACACCACGAACAACCATCTTGGGCTCCTGGAGATCCACTTTCGTTTTTGGACCATAATGACAAACTGCTTCGTCACGGAGGTATTGCGTGAAGTTCGCAATCACATCGGAAGAAAAACCGCCATCGTCTTGTACGAGGGAGTCGTAGTACTCCAGCCGTTGTTCTCGGAGACACAATAGGGTCCAATGCACTCCATGTTTATGGACAGGAATCAAGACCATCTCGTGCGAGAAAATATCCACATCTTTTGTCCATCTCGCTACCCTATCATGTCGATAGCCGCCACGGACGAGCTTGGTATAGAAAAATTGATTGAAAATATAAAGAGAGGGACACCCAGGCAACACAGAGTTGGTAAGCAAGGCCAAGTACGACTCCACCACCTCGTCGGAAAGCCATTCCCCCTAAACAAGAGTTTGAAGATTTTTTCTGCTCAACGAAATTGAACTGACCCCTTTGCGAACCGAGCACACCACCTCGTGGCCGTTGCTGTAATCTCCACAGACGTTCCGCAACATTCTCAAGTCCGTAGCGCTAAGCTCCTCAGTAGGCAACGGAACGCGAAAACATGATGTAGCCCCAGCTGCACAAACACCCACGAACAAGTGTGAGGAGTGAGCAAAAACCCCGTGGTGGAATGGCTAAGAACTGTCTGCCCTTTTCCCAGAAAAGTTGTATCCCTGCTTGTTGAATGTGTCCTTCGTGATGTACTTAGGACACGGGTCTTTCAAGACACCCCGTTTGCCATCGTCATCAGACCCGTCAGACAAAGCAGTAACGCTCTCAATAGACGCAGCCAAATGTTTCCGCAGACCTTCCTCCTTATCTATTCCACAAGCCTTCAAAACCCTGACAGCTCTCTGGGAAAGGCGAGGCATCTGGACCCTTTTAAACAACCCTACACTTGACGACTTCTTCGGTGAAGCGGCCAATGACCTCCCTGAAAGACGTTTCTCGCGCACGGCTTTTAAGGGCTTCATGGGCAGGGACATTAACAACCTCACACCTGTAGAACATAGAAAACAACCCACAACCCACAATTTTTTTTTTAAGTAGTGGTAACAGGTACATTAGCCCATGACATCAATTGGACGAACACAGAGATGGCCAGTGACAGATATGCGAGTGGTCCTATTCACAAATCTTACCGCGCTCGGGAGCCCTTTGAGGGAACTCTCCCTCCTATCGCGCCACTGCGCCAACGTCCACGGATGATTCGAGGTTCTGGACCTCGGCCACGGCTGTGTCGCTAACCAGCTCGGTGGCAGCTGAGTCGCTTGGCAAGTCGATGGCTTCATGAAGCACCATTTCCCGACCGGTACTGAGGACAGATGCTCGATCACCCTGTTCGGCACCGCAATGGGTGGACGGAGAATCATGATATTTCCGCTCTGGATCCATCTTGATGCTGATGGCCACCTCACCGCCTTCCACGGAGGATTCGACGTTCTGCATCTCGGCCACGCCTGAGTCGCTAACCAGCTCGGTAACTGCCGAGTCGTCACCCAACTCTATGGCTTCATGAAGCACCATTCCCCGAGCGGTGGTCACGACAGACGCTCGACCACCTTGTTCTTCACCGCAATGGGTGGGCGAAGAATCACCATCTTTCCACTGTGGATTCGTCCGGATGTTCTGCATCTCGGCCACGCCTGAGTCGCTAACCAGCTCGGTGGCTGCCGAGTCGTCACCCAACTTTATGGCTTCATGAAGCACCATTCCCCGAGCGGTGCTCACGACAGACGCTCGACCACCCTGTTCTTCACCGCAATGGGTGGGCGAAGAATCAACATCTTTCCGCTGTGGATCCGTCCGGATGTCCACAGTCACCTCACCGCCTTCCTTCACGGGTTCTCCGCCTTTCTCATCGTCATGAACCCGAGCTTCCACCGCGGGTTCTTCTTCGTCTTCATCGTCGCCAAGAACGGAAGCTTGCACGGACGTCCACTGACCTCCCTTAACGACACCTTCTCGCGTCGTGGCCACAACCAAGCGACTGTGCAGAACCTCTTCGAACGTCCCGATCACGGGCGCTCGTGCGTGGAGCCACTTCACGTCTTCACGAGCCGGCCTGTGTCGAGTGTCCTCTCCCCGCTGTGCAGCATGCGTTTCCCCCGGAGCTCCTGCACTCTCGCTGTCAGTGTCCATGGACGCACCCTCCGAAGCATGACGTTCACACTCGCTACCCCCGGTCTCCAACACTTTGCGAGAATGCCAGCGTTGAGCCTCCTCTTCCCGATGTACAACACGCATTCCCGGAGAGCGCTCGTCTTCCCCAGGACTGTGACGTTCGTTCTCGCTACCCCCGGTCTCCAACACTCCTGGAGCGGGCCCCTCCAGCACGTCGCAAAACCGCCAGTCTCGAGTCTCAACACATGAGAAGGGAGGCGAGAAGGGTAACCCTGTGTCCAACTGAAGATGCGGGGGCCAGGACGTCACATTTTCTTGGCCCCGCGAAACTGTTGCGTGAGGAGCACTTATGGCGGAGGGTGACGTCAGCAAATTCGAATGTATTCGGAGTTTGTGGCGGTCGCCCGAGGGAACCGAAGGTCGCACCTTCGCTCCTTCGCAATGCAGGCATCCCGCCCTCCAGGCAAAACGAAGACGCGCCCTCTTTCAGGAGCAAGGTGTTGAGCACAGGAGACCTCTGCTGCGCACGGCGGGATGGACTCTCCTGGGCAACGGGAAACAAACTCCTCGCAGACAAGTGCGAATCTACTCGCACTTGATCAGACGTCAGGGTGACCTCGTCTCGCATCTCGGAATCTCGACTCCCTACGCAGTGGGGGTCAGTTTCCATATACTGGGGACTCCCGGACGTTCTACGTTTTCCGCCCGGCCCCTTTCCGCCCGACCCCTTCCCGCCCGACCCCTTCTCGCCCGACCCCTTTTCGCCCGATCCCTTTCCACCGGACGCCTTCTCTACCGACGATGTCTCGCCCGTCTCCTTTCCGGCAAACTGTGAGCCGTCTCCTCCGCCACCTCTGTCGTCTCCTTCGTCTCCTCCACCACCCCCTCCCGGATGCTGACCGGCCGGCGGAGCTTGCGGCATGCGCCAGTCAATGCCACGAGAGGGTGCCGTTTCGAGTGTGTAGAAAGGCGCTCGAAACTCCAACATGTTGTTGGTGTACAACTCATGTAGCTTTTGTTGCGCATACGCATTGACGTCCGGATCGTTCCTCTCGGGGTTCGTGAGACTCAAACGCTCCACCAGAGCAGTTCTTGCCTTTCTCTTAAATGCACCCGCTCCCAGTCTCTTCAGTCCACTCCACTTGCCATCGGCCTCCTTTGTTGCCATGACCCATATTCCATTCCTCATAGCAGGTTGGAATATCCTCGGGTGCCAGACGACGTTGTGTCCCCAGACATCCTCCGACGTGAACCGGTGATGCTTGCCGAAGAAGTAGAGTCTGTCATTCTGCCAGGTGTCATGGTCCACAGGGAGCCTGTCATAAGGTTCGTGATCATAGTCTCTCTCTTCCTCCCCGTCATCAGACGATTGGTCATCGACTGGTTTGCCCCGAAACACACGCTTTAAACCGGAAGGGGATGTGCTATATCTCCAAGGGCCACCTTCCTCTTCACCACCAACCTGTCCAACCACCCGAGGAAGTGGCATGGACTCGAAATCGAAGGTTTCGGAGTCGCTCAGCTCCTCCATGTCTTCAGTGTCGAAAGTGTCCTCCTCGTCAAACTGTGACTTGTAGTTTTCGAGAGTGAGCGGTTCGGCCAGCATGAAGTAAACGTGCTCCAGCCTTCTCAGGAAGTGCAAGACAGACTCCCTGGGTGCACCGTGGTACCCATTGAGCACAACGAACACCAGGTTTCTCCGTCGGCTGTATTCGAGGTCGGTCGGACCAGGCGGTCCGGATCCGAAAAGGAAGTCCCAAACGTCCGTCCTTTTGTTCCCCGGCAATTTCCAATACATGTCACGTTTGGAATCCCAGTTTCGTTCGCCGGTGGTGCGGACAAACTCGCAAGCATTGCGAGTGTCTGCAACACGTGTCTTCACGAACTCGTGAAGGTAGTCGATCATCCTCGCCTCCTTCTCCAAAGCGACGACGTTCCGACCGGTGCGGAGGAGTCCCCACACGACAGACCCATGCGCCTTCCTAAAGAAAAAAACAGTTTGCCCAGCTTTGCAAAAGTTTTCGAGTAGACCAAGTAGACGGGACGGGTTCCGCTCCATCTCCCCGTAAGCAGGTCCTTGAGAACTTGTCACGCCGCCGTCCTCCCACATGCTACGAGAGAACCTTTCATCTTCCGCCACGTCGAAACACGCCACAGCCTGTCCTGATGGGTCCGACGAACACACAGGTTTCGAGCGGGCCGCCATCGTGTGTTTGACCGGACTTGGACCTTTTGTCGGGCTACTGGCCGGGTAGACTGCGTATGTGTTGTCTTCCAGCTTCTTGCCATTAAATATCACGTACAGGCGGTCATACTACTCAACCAGCATATTGCCTTCCCGGACAGTGACCTGCTTTTGTGCATTACGTACCCACTTCCCTGTCCTGACGTGATGAACGCTAAGCCTGGCCATCCCTTTCAAGAAATTGAGCTCCCAACGAGAGGCAAAAAAGATCACAAGTGCCCAGTTCGTTGGCGAAAGTGTTTGTAGAAGGCCTTGCAAGTTGGCGAAATCGTCTTTTCGCCAGTCTATGAGAAGTGTGGGATCACACAAATCGAGGACGTACAGGTTGCACACGTAATGTCGCACAACCTCACGGATCGCAGTGACATGACTGTGAGCTTGGGAAAGCGGAAAAGCGAAAGGAATAAGGCTGGTCACCCGGTTGAGGTCGGGCCATTTGATGTGCCTCACATCCTCGCTGACCCTGATCGTGTCTCGAACTTCTTCTTCCGTCCGTCGCAAGATGGAATGGACGGACTTTTCGAAATATTTAGGGAACCTATCATCATCGTACAATCTTTTCGCGTCGTCGATGGACTCCTTCTCGTGCGGATGAGTACATTTGCAAGTGTTCACCTACTCCACCGCGCCCTGAAAATTCTTTCGCAATTCGACCCATACCTGTTTCGTGAGGCCCTGTGGCCCAAACTCCTCCAAAAGCTTCCCCTCGGTCCGAAAAAATGGGCTCCCGTGGCGCCAAACACGTTCGTTCTCCTCCGTTTCAAGGAACAAGATGTAGTGGAACATACGGAGCATCACACGGTCCACTTTCGTCATTGCGACTATTTCTTTAATTCCAGGTTTATGCTGACGCTTCAGATGGCCGCCCGCGGATTGCACGAACACTCCCCTTAGTGCGAGAATGTCGTCGAGGATCGATAGTTTCTCGACATCGGTCATGTCGGCGAGAGACTGCCAACAGAACATGTCTGGCTCCTTCACGACCACGAAAAACTTGTCGTCCGCTTGCATTTTCTTTTTGGTCGGAGGCAGCGGGACCCGGACTAGCCACCCCATCTTCGTTTCACCAGCCGCCCCTTTCGTGCCAATTTCAGGAATTGCTTGCAGACCCGGAGATTTGTCAGGCATGTATTTACCCGGCCTCGACAATGGCGTTTTGTCGTCGCCGCCCAACAACTTCCCCTCCGCCCATTTCGCGTAGAACTCCATGGCTTTGCGAAAAACGTCATCACCGGCCGTCACGACCGGCATCCACTGCCTCAATGCATTGCCAACGGCAGCGACATAGTCCTTGTCGGCGAGCGACAAATCTTTTTTTGCCAACGTCCCGTGAGCTTCGTTCGGACTCTTTCCTAAAAGCAGCTTCTGGAATTCGAAAAACTTTTGTTTTTCGGCCTCCTTCCCGGAAGGGTTCCCTTGAATGGTCATCGGCCTTCCTTCTTTCTCCCATGCCTCCCACATGTCCAAGAACGCGGCCTTCTGCGATCGCTGCTTAGACATCTTGTGTCTCGTGTTCTCGTTGAGACTAACCTGCCTATACCCCGCGAAATCTCGGTCGGAGAACCACACTACTCTCGCCGGCCAAGAGTGCATCTTCCACAAATCGAATATGGGCTCACACTCCAACTCCTTCACAGCAACCACGGTGTGTTGTCCGTTAACAGGGTAATAGTAGTACTTGTCCTTGTCCTCCGGCTTGAAGTCATCTTTGTGAACCCTATTAGCTATCTCCGGCCTACGCGTCACCGACTTGTAGATAGGTGTCAGAACCAAAGGGTTTTTCGTTCAGATCTTCCCCCTTTTCTCACGGTATTGACTCAGCATCGCAGCCTTGATGTCGTCCACAGTTTCCTGATTTAGACTGCGGTGGTTGTAATATCTTTCCCAAGACGGGATGTCGCAGACCTCCCTGGGGTCGATGAGCAGTTGGACGGGGAGCTCCTTCTCCACGATCTCAACGCCATTGTTCCGCTCGTATTCGAGCCAGAACGCTGCCGCTTCGTCGCACTCCTCACCGACAGGCCGTTCGCCCCCGCTCGCCACCTCAGCAGTCTTCTGCCGTCGAGGTTTCTTCTAGCCATCGCCTTCTTCAACTGCCACTTTCCGTTTCGATTTCCCCGAAGGTTCTCTCGCGGCCGCAGCGCCTGGATCAGCCGAATCTCCTCCACCCACGGCTTGTCCTTCGCGGATGGTCAAACCGTCGGGCCTCCTCGCTTTCTTACTTGCTGTCCCACCGTCTTCCTTCGTCGGCCTCTTTCCCGAGGCACGTTCTCCGTCGTCACCTCCATCCCCGCCCATCACCGCCTCCGGTTTTCCTCTCATCCTCTTCATGCGGAGGGTTCCTTCCGCCACCTCCTCTCGCACCATCCTCTGTCGCTCGCTCTTCTTCTCCGAAGGAGTCTGCTCCCCGCCAGAGCTTTCGCGGGCAGCGCCCATCCCTTCAGCCTCATTTCCTCCGACATCTAGCCCCGATCTGCTTGAATCTCTTATCGTCTCATCTCGAAGCGAATATGTGTCGCCGCCGCAGCTGACCTTGATAATTTTCGGAGTACCGACCCGTTGAGTCCCTGTACCCTGAGAATGCAAGTCCGACGTGTTCCCAGGAGCATCCGGGCCGACCTGCATGTGAACGCTACGTCCCTTGACCCGACCCCCAGCGTCTTGAATCGGACTCCCGCGCCCCACTGCCGTACCTGGAGTTTCTTGAGCCAAGCTGGACGACCCCTCACCGGGTGGCAGAAGCCGGAAAACATGCTCTGGCGGAAGAACCGGACGTTCTTTCAGCACCATCAGCGCGGGATCGAGATATTGCTCTGGCGATGGAAGACGCTTGTTGCCGCTATCGTAAAGGACTTTGAAGTGAGAGCACAACGACATGTTCGAGCCGTACCCCGCGAAACGCTTGATGGTCACTATCACACCTTTAACACTCTGATAGGCAGTCTGCACTCGTCGTACAAGCCGTTAGTGTGCAGCTTGAGCAAACCTCCAGGAGTCTTCGCGCACGACACGATGGTACCGAGAGGAACAACGTTGACCGCTCCCCCAGTGTCTGTAATGCAACTGGGTCGCATGAAAACAGCTGGCCCAAAAAGGTTCCCCTGAACAACGAAGTCCAAAAACCATTGTGCTCCCTTTGCGTGCATATACGGAGGAGTAGGTTGCTGTACAGGTCGTCCCTCCCCGGGGGCAAATGGTCCAGCGTTTGTGGATGTGTTCTTTGCGGACGTCATTGTATTCCCACCCGTTGACTAGCACGCCCAACCTCAGACCAACTCAGATGACTGATGCGCCCAACCCCAGACCACTACAGAAGCGAAGTGCGAACTAACTTGGACTTAACGAAATGGAGGACGAAAAGGACGTAAGAGATGGGTGTTCGAAATGTACACGAAGTCACAACAATCAGGTGAAGGATAGGAAAGACAGAAGTTCGGAGGGAAGACGATAACTGTTTGGAAAGATTGCGACCCAACTAGATGCCCTCGAAACGAGTAAGATGTGGTTTATCGACAAGTGCGAAGGGTGTCGACAAGTGCGAACTAACTCGCAGTTCTGTAGACAGGACAACAATGGCAACC